GTGTGGTAGTGTGTGTGTGCGTGTGTGTGTGTGTATACTATATATATATATATATATATATATTTATATATTTATGTATATATAATTATAAATATAATTACAAATATAATTTTAAATATATATATCTATATCTATATACAACATATATATAAATATATATGTGTGTGTGTATGTGCGCGTGTGTGAGAAGTTTATAAATATATATACATATGTCCATTTCATAACCGCGGTTCTATATATCATCCTAAATTCCGGTTAAATAATACTACTAAATTTATTTTTGAACCATCTCTTTCCCTAGTCTATCAGCACTAGCTCCTCGGTATATGGCACAATTGTTCTGTGCAATGTCGCGGTAGAGACGAGTATAATTTGTCCTCTCCAACGGATGCGAAGTACGTAGATATCAGATCGCAGCACTTGTTGTATATTATTCGTGCACTTGGTGCGGATCGAGCCACCCTCCTCCTTCTACGCTCGTCGGCCGGTAGTTCACCTGCCCACAATCTTCCACTTCGTGATATCCAAGCCTAATGCCGCTCTGTGAAGCGCGTTTGATTACCCAGCTTGCAGTGCTGGATTGGTAAATTTTCACCAATGGGACACTATATCACACACATTCACAGCATGGCATGTAGTTATTACAGCATTAGAGCATAGTTATTACAGCATTAGAGCAATACATGGTTATTGTACAGCAAGCTCAAATCGCCCCTAGAGCGATATTTATGGTTATTGTTCAGCAAGCTCAGAGATTGCATCTGTGGATAACCGTAGATTATACATTGACTTGGAGAGGTCGGAGCCCCTACTGTAATGTTTTGCAACCTTTGCCGTAGCGATCTTCGACGCCCGGGTGGCCTCAGCGGCCGACATTTCCCCGGGATCTAGTTCTGTTTGGACATCTTCGTCTTCAGTCTCGGTAATCATCCCCAGCATTTCTTCTGTACAAAGGGAATATATATGAAGCGATTAATAGACACAAAAGACAATCCGTTGTCGGCATGCTAGCATTTACATGTGTGAGAGGCAACGATGAACATTTAGTACTTCAATTCTCCTACCACGAAAGATTCATGCAAGAATACACTAGCATGACACATTCTGAGGCACACAAAGGCCAGCCATCGTTTTGTATACACATATACAGCTACTCTATCAGTGAGTAAACCGAAAATGTGATGGCACTAGGCGAGGTGAACCCTATATAGTTCACAAAAAACGACCAAAATAAGTAGTACTAAGAACGAGGCGAGTCTTGTATCTAATTTAGCCCCACATCATATAACTTACATACACCTCGCAGATAAATATGAAAAACGACCGATTAAAGTGGCAAGAGAAGTAAAGTTCTGCTGGGTGTACATGCAAGCAATAAGGTCTACGAGAGCCAAATTCCTATTTCGAGATAAACATTGGCAAATTATATATGATAACATACTTTAACAAGGCCAATGAAAGAACTCGACACAATATTTCAAATACACCATACCTTCATCATAGCACTCGCCCATATGCAATTCGTCCAGGGCAAAGTTCTCGATTATGCCATCGTAGTTGGACGCACAGCTATCCCAACCGCTGGTGATTTCATCATAGTAATCGGAATGGTAGTCGTTATATATTTCGGGTACACTAGTATTCCGTTCGTAGACACCGTATCCGAGGTCGGCATTGTGCAGAACTTCATCGTCATTGATAGTTTCCAAGCCAAGACCTTCCATACTCGTTTTAAGGTAAGTGTCTTCGCTGTTCGAGGACATACCCTTACGTATACTCACCGGCTTGGCTTCCCCATCACATAGTTGAAAACCAATATTTGTACCGGTGTTGACCCGTTTTGCACAATCTAAGATCCCGTCACAAGAACGCGCGAACTCGGCGGTCGAACTCCGCTCTGATGCCATATCCAAGGAGGTAGAACTGCTCCCACTGGTGGTCCCTGTTGAGTTGTACTTATCCAGACGACATGTGTACTGCTGTAACATACTCCGTGAGGGTGTCGGAAATGTGCCCAGACTACTACTCCGCTTCGCTCCGGTATGCCACTGTCCCCCAGCGTCTGTAATCGAATTGAAATTCTGCATGGCACGTACCGTCGCTTCGCTGCATTGCTCTGCTGGCAAACGTGAATTGTTGCTGGCTGGATCAACGTCATAGATCAGTTCTTCGTCTTCTGAGACAGTTGAAGATTGAGGGCTTGCCTCACTCATCCTCCGACTAGTGGGTGCAGACCCCGAACTGAACAACCACGCTCGCTTGAGACCACCACTCAGCTGCTGACGGAATGTTCCAGGCAACGAGTCGGTGGTGGCTGCCTGGGCAGCTGTGAGTAGCCGCAGAGGCTTATCCCGCTGTGGCTGAGCAAAAGACCTCCGTCGCATACAAAAGGGGCTCCCACTGAGACTAAGAGGAGAAGCATCTCGTGCACCCTGTGGTGTATGGTAGCTAGGGGAGTAGGTGCGGGAGCGTGCCACCGCGGGTACGACGGAGATCTGACCGCGAGCGTTCGTATTTTGAGTCTTAATCGAAAATGAGGATAAAATATACTGTGACCGGTTTGTCATAGTATTCGGGTTAGATATGGGCACGTGTACTGATGTATGTGTGCCTGCGTGTGTTTGCTGGTCCGCGGCGGAGAGCGACATGGATTTCTGCAGTTCTAGTGGCGAGTTTATCTTGCTACTCTCGCTGCGCTCTTGCAGCAACTCCACTGCCGCTTTCGGATGTTGTCCCATCGCATCTGACGTGGACTTGGACCGGGGTTTGCGCCCAGGAAGCCACCTCTTGAAAGAATGTCGCAGGGACTTGGACAGGTGTGAATCTCGATTTTTTGGGTCTCCAAAGGTATGTTCATGATCTGTTTCTTTACGACCCGTTAAAGAAGTACTAGTAGTCGAAGACGAGCCCCTTGAGGGCGGGCCTGTACTGTCATCGTTATCTGATGGAATCCATCGCGCCGCTTGTCCCAACTTCAGATTGGGGTTAGCGCCATTCTTGGACCCGAACATGCGATCCGAGGAGCTTCGTTTCACCGAGTCGTGAACTAGAAAACTAGACGAATTATCTGAGGGTTCAGCGCTGCTCACATTCCTAAGTCGTCTTGAATCGATATCAATTTTCTTTACACTAGACATATCTCCGTTTCCGTGCGGAAAATCGCTATTTCTAGGAGAAACATCTCTATTTCTGGGCGACATAAAATCCATGTTTCTGGGAGAAATGTCTCTATTTCGGGGCGAGGATATTTGCATAACCGGGCTCGAGCGCACGTCTCTGAGCGGTGCTTCACTTGCTACAGATCTCAGCACCAGCGAGCCTGACCGATCATCGTAAGTCATTCTGCGTCGTATCGAGCTTCGCCTAGGACTACAAGGGCTCGTCATCACACCACTTCTGGGGCTTGCCAAGTTGGCTGGAATGGCTTGTACCTGCCGTGGACATATCTGGTCTCTACTCAAGCTTCGGATATCCATTGAGTTGGCGCTCGAGGGAGCGGAAGGGGTCATATTGGGTGCAGACGTCGGTGAGATTAGGCTGGCAGCACTCTTACTGAGCAAGTACTTCCGGCTACTATCTTGGGCGATGGCTATCTTATTGAATACGAATTTCTGGTCACGAGCTGCCCTGTGGTGCAGGATCTCTCCTTTGTTTCCGTTGTTAACTAATCTTTCGTTCCGGTACGCATCCCGGCTGATATATTTTGGCGTCCCCAGGGGTTCGGTTTCGCCGTCTAAAAGCCTATTGAGATACTGACTGTTGGCACCGGCCGTGTCCGGGGCGGATGCTTTCCGTACGCGTCGAGCTGACACTTTGAATGACTGCATGTCGACAGTGGCGTTATTTGCTTGGGAAAAATCATGGAATGGTTGTGGCGCTGACAGTTGTCGGGCTATTAAAGCCCTATATTCAATGTCTATTTGTTGTGTATGTTCTATATTATTATCTGTTCTATCTGTTTGTGTACTATCATCAAGGTGTCCAGCCTTGTTCCGCTCAGCCAGCCTTTCCTTTCCATGTGCTGGGACCCTTTCAGCAAGAGTATCGCTAACTTCAATGCACTTTTTACCTACTCTTTCTTCATTATGATCGTTACCAATAGTATTGCTACTTATAGCCTTGTCTCTATGACGAATCCAATTACTGAGATTCCTTCTCATCTTGTTCGTCCATTTGGCCGACGGTTTACGCTCTATTTTCAGGCTTTCACTGACATTATCAGTAATATCATTAGGTGACGATTCTGCTGAGCTTATAAACGGCGTGGAGTCTTCCCCGCTTGCATGTGATACACTAAGTATTTGTACGACCCCTTCCGTAACAGTTTGGGATGTCATCTTCACCGGTTCGCAAATCAGAGAACGACCTGTTTCCCCAAGTTCTGTGTTTGAATTTGGCTGGGTACATGTCGAAGCAGCATGTTGAATTGCGTCACATGGTCGCACTTTTGCGTCAACTGCCTCAGACATAGTCTATCGTCTAGAGTCCCCAGAAGTGTGTGACGCTGGGTACAACCAAGTGCTTACTAAAAATTGTCAAGATACCTATTCATACGTGCAAATTTCTAGAGCTCATAGAAGTACGTGTATTTGCGTCCTGCTAGTAAATAGCGTATGTACAATTGTATTGCTGGGGTCGATCGATCGCTTACATCATTACATATATAAAGACTGTACTGATTATGTTAAAAAAATCATCATTGCTTTCTAAATTATACAAAAAAAAATAGTCATATATTTATATGTATATATATTTATTTTTGTGAAAATTCTCTTTTTATAGAGTGACAGTATGTAAATATGTGAAGTGGATCTTATATCTCTCAAAACAATACAAGAGAGAGAAGAACAGGTCAAAGGTCCCAGGACTCCGGGACTCAGGGTCCGACCATAAAAATTAAAAAGAACACCACTGTGGACTGAGGAGTACATATGTACTGGGGAGTGGGGAGTGTAGAACTGTATCTGGACTCTGGGGACTATGAAGAGTGGGGACTGGGGACTGCTCTGCGAGACTATGAGAAATCTAAAATCTGAAATAAAAAAATGACACAAAGTAGAAGAAAAAAATGTGTTGTGAAAATGAACTTGTGGCGTCTCGCTCAAATGATAAGTCGCTCTTCTCTTCTTGCTTCTCTTTCTTGTTGTGTGTGTGTATTTAAATATCATAAATAACAGTGTATGTGAGTTCCTCAGACCTCCGGCTCAGGGCTCACTGCTCAGGGCCTCTGGCTCACTATTGTGACACTGCCTCCTCCTTTGTCTAACTCTATACTCTATACAAACGAACATAAATAAATATATGTTTTCTTAAAAAAAACAATGGGACTATGTAGAATATTTATTTCTATAAAATACATTGTGCAGTACTTTTTAAATAAGTTTTTTAAAAGGCAAGGGAAGCTTTAAAAGTGGACACTATGAGTAAATAAAAACCAACCCGATACTTGGGAGCAAATATTACATATTTCAGTGACTCTTAGAATAGGACAAATATATGTCGGAATGTGACCATAGTCGCACACTGAAATTACGAATGTAGTAAGAAAGTGCGCAGCTTATATTAAAACTATATTTTTTTAAAGTTGTACTTGCGTTGTTAAAAAAGTGAATATTACATGAATATTACTGCATGTGCCATGTGGTCATATATGAACCTGCTTATGGACGTATATGAATATGATGTGTGCAAGAATGTCTGAGATCGGATAAGAGAACAAGTTACTTGTTAATGGTAATTGTAATGGATTACTTTTTTAAAATAAGGCTTTGCAAGTAAGGCACATTAGATATGTGTGGATACGTTAAAAGACAAGAGAAAGTCATGCAGTATGCACTTCTTGAGTGTAGTGCGAAAGAATATGAGGATCATTGATGCGGAGAATTGAACTTAAATGTAGTATGGGTTATTGGCAACAGTATAGTTGTTACTGGTAAAGTGGACAGAAATGTTCATATTTGTAGTAGTAAGTAAACATAACAATAGAAGAGGGTTTTGCTGCCGTGCATAGCAGTTTTCCTCCGAAAAAGTCGTACACTAACTTACTCCAAATAAGCGCTCTTAAACCCTAAAACCCCCCCATATAGGAACAAGAAGGCTATGAAAAATTGAAAGTACAAGAAGGTCGAACGAGATGGAATTTTTTTCTGGTGGCGGAGTTGTGCTCGAAGGCACGACGAAGGTAGATGAATAGAACCCAGGGGTCTTCAGAGAGTTCTTCGGCGGTGAGAGAATCCGTGATCAGGGTAGGAGGGACTTGGCCAGGAGATAGGTACCATTTGTCTTGGTTTCTCGGCGAAAACGAATGATGCCTTCGATCTTAGCAGTATCAGCAGCGGGCGTATGTTGATGAATCGGGGTGCTAAGTTGTTTGGCGAGAATTTCTCGTTTGATGTGTTTGTAATGTAGAACACCTTCAATGTCGTCCTTATATTCTGTATTGGCGGCGGCAATGAGATGTGCCCACCACTTGTCATAGTTCGATACATCGTAAAGAAGTTTGGACCATCGGATTTTACGGCTCTCGCCTGAGATTGAGTCGGACATAGCAAATATAATGAAGTTGGTACAATTTTTTGATCAAAAGATAATGCCCATAACCTATAAAGACCTATAAAAGTATTCCTGAGAGACTGTTTTATTAATTGAATATTACTTGACATTTTATAAGTCAGTAAAACTGGACTAGTGTATATTTATCCGGAGTCCCAAATGGGCTGAGGAGTAAAAATCATAAGTGTTAATAATAGAGTAATGTGGATGTGAGGACCAGTACACTTCTACCGGATGGCTTCTAAGATAATAGAGTAACTTTAGTGCTCAATAAATACATGTTTAAAAAAAATAGAGGGTCTCAGACTCTCAGGACTCAGACCTCATCACACTAGAGTATATATAGAGTACATATGTACGAAGGCTGGGAAAAATTGAAAATACATTCTTAAAAAAATTGAAAAATAGAGAGTCTCAGACTCTCAGTCTGACTCAGACCTCAGTCATTCTACAGAGAGTCAGAGACTAAGAGTATTTACAGAGTACATATGTACTACGCACCATATGTACATATGTACTACAAAATATTTGTTCTGTTTTCAGTGTTTTCAGTGTTTTGAGTAGTTGATATTTCATTGTGTAAATTTATTTTTTTGGTATTTAATAAATAATTAAATACATACAAAAGAGAAAACGAAATTCCTCTATTTTATATGGACAATGGTAAATGGACTAGTAGGACTATGGAGTATGGCTCGTTTTTGGCGGGGGTAAGTTTCGTTTCGAATTGTTTTCTAAAAAAACGGGTTTAACAAATAGCACTATCTATTTCCTGCCTACCTATTTACTCTTTTACCTATTTGGGCCCTGAGCATTTGTTCATATTACATATTTATCTCAATTTCTCTCAATTAAATGATTACATTGTTTCTTATCTCATGTTGAAGTACGAATCAAAGTGTATATAATGTTCTATGTGACTACCCAAACTTGATAAACACACCACCAATTCCTACCTGTAGTCTGAGCTTTCAGTCCCCGCGGCGCCCCAGCCGTGTTTTATCCGTAAACCGTGAACATATCGGGGGGTTTTTTTTAAATAACAATACTGTATGTATTGTAAATAAACAAACCGGTTTTGATACACATTATTCAATACAAAATATTCTCCACTTCTTGAGCTAGTAGAGCCTAACCTCAAACCGTCCTCCGTTAAACTTTTATAAATCGAATATATATATACATTTACGTTCAACTTCTATTCCGTACCTCCATAGCGTAATGAGCTTAGGGCCTTAGGCTCGAGACTCCACACAAGAGAAGAAGAAACTGCGCTCTTAAGCTCAATGCGTTAAACGTTAAAACTTTCAATACATGCCGATATAAGCGTTAAAGTTCAATTTTTATCATATGTGGTCCTATGGATTTCAGATGAGGTGTAATTTCTAGGTCCGCAGATTTGTCCCCAGTTGAGTCTGTTGAGCGCGCCAAATATGACAAAACAGGCCGTCTGTTAGGAATTGGGATATGCGTCATCAAAGTTGTTTCGAGCTTATGATTGGTCAACACTCTCAATTTAGCCCATTTCGTGGATTTTAGATGCACATTCGAAGTGCAGTTTTTAAATTTTTTGGGCATATTTCAGCTTCATAACCGTTTTTTAAAGTATATAGAACATGGATATAGGCGTTAAAGTTCAATTTTTATTCAGCATACACATAACGTAATGAGCTTAGCTGCGTCCTGCGGTCGTGTTGTTTCTACAAAATTCTAAACAAACGAGGCGGCTATTATGTAAAACCCCCAAATAATTTTATACGAAGGGCCAGTAGAATCGACTATTTTCTATTTGGCATTCCTAATTTGTTTTGCCTAGTTCAATTTTTATTCAGCATACACATAACGTAATGAGCTTAGCTGCGTCCTGCGGTCGTGTTGTTTCTACAAAATTCTAAACAAACGAGGCGGCTATTATGTAAAACCCCCAAATAATTTTATACGAAGGGCCAGTAGAATCGACTATTTTCTATTTGGCATTCCTAATTTGTTTTGCCTATACCTCTCTCAGACTCTTCTAAGTCTTCTTGTGATATAATACATAGGTTTTTTATTTTTTAAAAAATTAACAAAAACCATCACCACTTGTTGGACCGCCCTGAAATCGATTCTTGATAAGTTGATTTTTGTTAAAATAATATAAAATAAAAACCCAATTAGTTGGTCATCGACTCCTGGAGTCCTAGCCCTGGGTCTCGGACACTGGGTTATGTACTTGTCCCTAACCCGCGTCATAGACTGAAAAACGGACATCTAACGAGTAACCAGTGGACACCTAAGCTCATTACGTTATGGGATATGGAATAGAAGTTTAGCGTAAACGTATAATAATTCAATTTTAAAACGCTCTAACGGGTATAATGTGTTCAGATGAGCCTACCTAAGCTATTTTATAGGACTGGTTCCTATGGTTAAAACTGTACACACAAAGATGTTTAGACTGGCAAGATGCACATAAGAGCACTCAAAGGACCGCATATAGAATAAAAGCTTAACGTAAACGTATATTTATGTTTTAACAGAAAACGGTTTCAGGTTAGGTGGACACTCCCACAAGTTATCTGTTTGCCATGAGTTTTCTATCGGGTGGTTTGGCCGAGTTGAGGACTTGCGGTACTAAATACTACGAGACTTGAGCTATTAGTATAACATAACTTTTTGTTTTAAAAAAAAACAAATAAAAAAGTCACAAGCGATTTTTTTAACAACATATACGCCTTACATACATAGCAAATATAAATAATATATATTTTGTTCCCTCTATACATATTCAACTGATTTTTAGTGATGAACAAACAAGAAAGAGTGTTTGTTTTGTGGGATTTATGTCTGATGAGTCCGTTTTACACAGTGAAATTGTATCGGTTAAGTATTGGCCGGTCATATTCGGCGCACTTATATATGTAGGACAAATCTGCGCACTTAGAAATAGCACCTCTATGGAAATTCATAGGACCCACATAATTGAACGTTAACGCTTTTATCGCCGTGATATAGGTTTTGTCATGAGCTTGGCACGATAGTTAAAAATTGTGATTTTAAATTACAAAAAACAATAGTCGGACTCGGTAGTCGGTGGTAAGATAAATATTTCGTCCGTTATAACTCACCTCTTAAATTTCTACTTCTACTCTGATCACTGATGGTCCTGACTCATGACTCAAGTGAGTACCCCATTGAATATCACAATACTAAATATTTGATAGTCACGGTAAATCGGCGACTGTTGGTTTTTTTGTGTTTATATTTGTTAGAAAAACAAATTGTACAGTATTCGGAAGAAGTGATTCGTTCACGGCCATTGTCCTTCGGGCTTCGGATAATAGTCCGATCAGGCATATTATATTTATTTTTTCTCTACTCTCCCTCTCTAGTCTCTACTAGATGAGAGAGAGAGACCCCTTACTTTCCACCCAACAATTAATCCACGTTTACCTAATTTATAGGCCCCCTTGAGACCCCACATCTTTCTTCTTCTCTATTGTAGGCATAAACTCCTACACAGTTTTCCAGTGGAGTGTTGGGAGGGGAAATCTCACTTTGGTCATAGATATGTAAATACACGGTTTTTAAAAATCATTTTCGACCACTTCTGCCATTCATTCATTTTCTGACGCATTGTATTTGGCGAGTGTATAGTATGTAATGTATGAGTGAGTGTGCAAGAGTGTTTGTGAGTGAGTGAGCGTGCGTACGAGAGAGTGTGTGTACTCGTATATAAGTGAGTGTGAATGAATGTGTATACACGAGTACTCGTGTATGAGTGGTCGTGTGTGTATACGAGTGGGCGTGTGTGGGTGGACGTGTGCATAAATGTGATTGTGATTGTTAGTGTTTGTGATTGTTAGTGTGTGTGAAAGAAATTGCGATGAGTGAGTGTGAGTGAGTGAGCGTGTGTACATGTGTGCCAATTTGTGTGTGTACACTTTCGTGTGTGTGTGTACGAGTGTTTGTGTATGAGTGGGCGTGTGCATGTGTTAGTGAGTGGGTGATTAAGAGTGAGTGAGCGTGTGTACGAGTGAGTGAGTCAGTAGGTGTGTGTGAATGCGTGCGTGTGCATAAGTGTTTATGTGTGAGTGTGTGTATGTGTACATACGTGTGTGAACGAGTGTGTGCATACGAGTGTGTTTGAGAGTGTGATTGAGAGTGCGCGTGTTGGAGCGAGCTGATGCATTCGTTTGTGTGTGCACATACAAATACACATGTACACATGAACGAAAATGCACATGCACACACTTGGAGATATCTACAGATACACTTATGCATGTAGATACTTGTACGTGCACATACACACAAATGTACATGTAATAACACGCACATGCAAGTGTATGTACATAGATATGCATCTATACAAATGTTTATGCACACACAATTATACAAGCACATGTACACAATTGCACATGCATATACTCACACATGCACATACACATATTCATGTAAACGTGCACATACATATACACGTACACACTCTGACACTTGCAGATATATTATGTATATATATGCATATATATATATATATATATATGTGTGTGTGTATTAAAATAATATATATATATATATATATGTGTGTGTGTATTAATAATATATATATATATATATATATATGTGTGTGTGTAAGTGTGTTATATATATATATATATATAGTACTATATATATATATATATATATATATATATATATATATATATATATATGTACATATATTATATATATATATATATGTGTGTGTGTGTGTGTGTGTGTTTGTTTATAATCTATCCTAACTCCCTTTTTTTTACAGAATTTTGGAGGTGACCTGTCATCTATGTATCAACCGCGCCTTACGTTTCAACTTAAACTACTTCTGAGTATACTATTTTCACACACATAGGATTTGCTGGAAAATCTACAGGTCTCATAGATATCGATTAAATAACACTCACATGCTATCAACTATATGGGCTTCTGAATATCATACATCATTATAGTGATAATATACTACAGAGGTCACCCGGTCCGACCGTCAAACTGTCGGAGGGCACAATTTACAAAAAGAGCTGAGGAATGTTGGCTGCAGAAGCAAATAGCAGAATATCGCGGTCTCAGGCTTTCAGTTTCAGCTGCTTGTTTTACTATTTTACTTTAGGTAATACGGGTGTCGGGCGGGCAATAGGGAACAACTATGATATTTAGATGTGGCCGTGGGTATGCTGGTGTGGTGGCTGTACATTAACAGTAAGCACGTACTCAGGCGTGAGTGCCCTGTCCGATTGGCAGAAAGGGTGATGTGCTTCCCCGCAATACCCGATACAATTTTGCAGACCGTCTTGGCTAGGGTGCTTAATGAACGCCTCTGAACTTGTCCAGGCGTTTCCAGTGACGTATAGCTGATCGACATTACCCGATGTTTGCTGCAAATTCTGCGACACATAGCATATAATTGGCATTTTATCATATTTTTATGCACATGTTGAAATACTTGTATTTGTTACAGCACACACCACTCACCATTCACAATTTCAAATACACAAGAGAGTTTATAGCTAAAAGATCGTCCACAGCTCTGTCCTCTGAAGAAGTTTTAAATGGTGACATTCAATCGCTATTTACTGAATGGTCGAGTAGAAGTCCACACTCTAAATTGTAATATATATACACCTACGTAGCTGTATTAATACAATGTATACATACTTTATTATATAATACAATAAATAGATTCTTTATTATATATACAGTCCATGTAATATTATCGTGTTTAGTATGTGACGTAGTTGTATTAAAAAATACAATGTATACATCTTTATTACATAATACAATATATAAATACTTGATACTATAGTTCATGTATTATATCGTGTTTAGTATATATGATGGAGTTGTATTAATACAATAATGTAAACATATCTTATTATATATTACGATATATAGATACTTTATTATAGTTCATGTATTATTTAAGTTGTGACGGTAGATTTCTGGTACAAATGATAGTTTATTTATTTGTGTATATACATACTGAAATTACTAAGTTGGTATCGTTTTGCACGACAATATTAAATACAATTATTCATGGCTTACGCGGAAGCCACTTGTGTGCTTTTCGTTGCTCGTGCGCTAAATTGTGACTCAGAGCTCTGCCCGCAGCTCGTGGGTGATTCGTTGAGCCCTGCTTGTGCTTCTTGGTGCTTATTTATGTACGAGTCTCGTGCAAGATACTCCTCGCCAAACAGAGCCTCTCTTGCTGTGTCATTGTCGGCACGTGTGTGTGTGTGTGATGTTTGGTATATGTCGGCCTGTTCCCTCAGCGCATCCACATACATCTCCGCACAATTGCTATCGTAAATCATCGGTACACCGAAATCAACGGCTGTTCGACGGATTTTGTACGCAGGAGCGGCTGTAGAGGATATGAATGAAATATGTGACGTTAGTCTTATTCGTCTTAGATCCGAGAGTAGGAAAATCAAAGCATAAAAAGAAACTACAAGTAGATTGGTGATTGTCTAGCTTACCACGCCTGTCTACTACTTACGAACATGCGACCGAACAGTTAAGTACGGGGGCATACGAAGAAAAGGATCAGGTACAGCATACAAACGGCTACACTTAAAGTATGTCATAGCGAACAAACAATATCTTCTTGAGAAACATACACGAGTCGGGTTGCTTGGCGTGGCCCGTCATGTCAATCAGGGTACAAGGTCTGTTCGCTTTCATGCTGGAGATCGCATTTTGCAAGACTACGGAATCAGATATGGCCGCCACTTCTAGGTGGTTGATCTGGAAACCTAGAGTGGCTAGATCCTTCTGAACCTTTTGTACTTGTGACCTGCAATTAGAAGTAAAAGTTCAGGAAGGCGTCAGTATTCAATTTGTCGGATACCCAGAAAGTGGCAGCCAACCCATATGCCTAGATGTGCCACCACACCCCATAGCTTGCGCATCTTATTTTGTACTCACTGATTCGATAGATAAACGGTAGAAATACACATACTCTTTGCTGAGGTCGTCTGTAAGAACAGCCACAGTTGGGGCCTGTTCACCGTCCACGATATCCGGTAATTTGAATCCGTGCACTGACTGTATCGCCTTCAGATACGCTGCCGTAGGCGTCTTGGAGAAGGTGGCGACCTCACCAGTGGAAGACATCTCTACACCTAGCTTGGGGTCAGCACCGGCCAAGCGGGTGAATGAGAACTGTGCAACCTGCAAGAGTGAATCGGTGTGAAGTTTGGGTTAAGTCTATGATTTATGTTTCGTCGTATACTTCTTACGAGTGTTGGCTCGTTAAGTGAATGGCCTAGGTCACCACTTCATCGTTTAACACCCGAGACATTCAACGGGGCGAATTCGAAACAAACGCTCACCTTGACACCGTAGTAATCTCTCTTCTCGGCCATGATATCGTAGTCGACAGGTACCACTGGGAATGGCTTGGTATGTCCACTGGCTACCAACTGCGCATCCGTTCGGGCTTTACTACTGCTGGGCGCCTGCATGATGGCCTCAACGGCCGTGTCAATGAAGTTTTGTCCCAGAACCTTCGACACGAACGGGAAGGATCGACTCGCTCGCAGATTGCATTCAATCACCTTAAGTGTTATGTCACCGTTGGCATCTGGGAGAGCAAGGTTGCATGTCTCATAGTTAGTTTAACGCGTGTTGTACATCAAGCTCGCATAAATCATAGAACCCGTTCAAAGGTGATTGCGAATAACATAATTAATATTGCTCTACTGATTGGTACACCCACCTTCATTGTGCAGAATCTGCATGTTGAACGGTCCCGTGATTCTCAAGCCAGCGGCCACCTTCTGTGTGATGACCTTCAGACGTTCCATCATGGGCTCATCACCAACGGTATGGGGAGGGAGTACTAAGGAGGCGTCTCCACTGTGGGTACCCGCCCTAGCAAAGTGTGCAGTAGTTATTTCCCATTATTAGTCAGTGCGGACGAGTATATACCGTTCATGGTACACAGCTCCAGTAACCTTTGACCAATTAGCATGTGCTATCTGCAAACTCTAAATCGATCACGACAAATCGTGCCAAGAACAGAACATGCACCACTTAACACTCCACAACTAAGTTCACACGACCCGGACAATATAAAGAAAACTTACTGTTCAATATGCTCAGATACGGCATGGAGAAGGACTCTGCCTTCCACGGCCACTGCGTCAATGTCTATTTCCTTAGCGTCCTGCATGAACTTGGTGATCACTACGGGGTGGTCAGGCGACACATCCGACGCCATATTCAGGAAGTTATCCAATTCCTGCGATGTAAAGGTAGTATGGTTTCGTTAGGAGAGTACCCAGCAGTAACACTTAGTAGGAACGAGCAGGCGAGCACGGGAAAAACAAGGCACCTGTACAGCATATACATAGTACTACCAGCACAGCCCAAGCACGTGAGTGATATTCTTACCTCCTGCGATCGCGCAACATTCATAGCTGCGCCAGACAGCACATAAGAGGGTCGAATGAGGCATGGGTAGCCAACACTGTCGCAGAACTTCTCGGCTTCTTCAATGGACGAGAGCTCCTTCCATGATGGCTGATCCACGTCTAGAGAGTCAAGCAGGTTGCTGAACTTGTATCGATTCTCGGCCATATCAACCATATGCGGGTGAGTGCCTAGCATCGTAGCGCCATTGTCATAGAGCTTCTCACTAATGTTCTGGGGTATCTGCCCACCCACACAGGTGATGATACCTTTCGAGTTTTCAAGGTCATATACATCCAGAACTCTCTCCGTACTCAGCTCCTCGAAGTACAACCTGGTAGTATGATAATAGAAACATGTTGAGTCTCGCATATAGTGATATATACGTACGATTTGCCTGCCGAAGATAGCAAAAGCGTAAACAATTCATGGATTATTGTATAGAGAACGAGTGATCGCAAGCTATATCTCTAACCGCACATGGTGCGCATATCTAACATACCTATCACACTCGTCGTAGTCCGTGCTGACTGTCTCGGGATTGTAATTCAACATGATCGTCTTGTGTCCCAACTTCTTGAGTTGTCTGGTGGCTGATACCGCACACCAATCGAACTCGACACTGCTACCAATACGGTAGACTCCACTGCCGAGCACCATCACACCGCCTTCACCTATGTAATCAGTATACGTTCCGAGTTAGTATTGTACTATATATATTATATGAGCCACCTTCGTTACCCTTGCACAGAGCGAGTAATCCATAGTGAAACAAACAGTCATTCACACACATAGTAAGGCACGATGTGGGTGTCACCTATTTAGCGAAAACTTCTTACTGCCCTGTTAGGTTTTCTTGCGCAAGTATGGACACAACAAAAAGAAACGAACAACATACCCTTCGCATCATCAAAGGTCACATCGTCATGAGTTGCATTGTAGGTGGTGTACAGGTAGTTTGTCTCAGCCGGGAATTCGCCCGCAAGGGTGTCGATCTGCTTAACCTTGGGAATGATTCCGCTGGCTTTGCGCTTGGCTCGCACAGACATCTCGTCTGAGTTCACCACATTACCAATCTGGGAGATAATGATGGAAAAGGTGACTTGCTTTGAGTCTACAAGTCACTATGACTATGGCGGGTACGATACACTCCACCTAAATACACACGAAGTTATGTGCCAACTGAAGGTGTGCGTGTGCGGTCGAATTATAGTCAGCAGTGAACCAGTTATCTGCTATCGCTGTGTTCTCTAACAAGCACAAGGGCCGAGCAGCTGTCGAACCAGGGCTACTTCACAAGCTTTCCCTGTAATATTCCGACATTCAATCACAAAGATACCCCGGTCATATACATACCTGAATATCAGAGAATCCTAGCTGCTTGGCGCGTTTAAGCTCTTCAGTGGGCAGTGTTTCTAAGGTGTGACCATTCATGTCGGATTTGCAGTCAACAATGTGCTGGCACTTGTGCAGGAACCATGGATCGATCTGTGAAGAGTGTGCAGAGCACTGATGAGTACATCATACGCGCTAATTTGCGAGAAAAGAAACAACGTGTAGAATTATCAATCAAAAACAACAAGCATTAAACCCAAGTACACACACACATGTTATCCCATATGATAAACACCCATAGCCACACCTGTGTGATGCTGTGCAGTGTGTCCACATCGTATTTGTGATTGTGCATGGCATCAGCAAGAGCAAAGACTCTCTGGTCCGTTGGGAACTGGAGTGTGTGTTCCAATCCGTTCTCATATGTTCTAGCAACCGAATCGAAGCCAACGTTTCCTGGGTCTACCATACGCAACGCTTTCTGGAAACTCTCCTCAAACGTTCGGCCGATGGCCATGACTTCACCCACAGATTTCATGCACGACCCGATGTCGTTGGAGACGTTGGTGAACTTGCGCAGATCCCATCTGAGGAATAGACAATGCGTTCGTTCAATATGACGTTAGCGGCCGCACGTAAAATTGTTGTCAAGTCTCTAGTAATCACACCACTGTATCCATAAGCTAGCTCCAAACTGCAACCGCACGCTTGTTGATTGAACATACCTGGGAATCTTTGTGACGACGTAGTCCAACGATGGCTCAAAGCAAGCAGACGTAGTCTGGTTGACAGAGTTCTTAATCTCCGGAAGAGTGTAGCCCAGCGCGAGTTTCGCAGCAATGAAGGCCAAGGGATATCCAGTTGCCTTTGAGGCCAGCGCTGACGATCGCGACAGACGAGCGTTCATCTCAATCACACAGTACTCGGACGTGAGTGGATTCATCGCATACTGTGAAGTGTGTGTGTGATGTGTCATGGTTTGCGGTCGAATTCGATACAGTGCAAGACAAGCGATCCGCTTGCGGCGTAGACAAAGAGCTAAACCGACTCTCTTCAGTATAAGGCAATTTATGCGAAGGTTGGTAGTCAGAATTTAAGTGCGTCTAGAAAGTTAGAGTGCTACTAGTAGGCTTACCTGTACATTGCATTCGCCAACCACCCCCATGTGTCTGACGATGTTGATGGCGGCCGTTCGCAACATATGGTACTCTTTATCGGTCAATGTCTGCGACGGTGCAACCACAATGCTATCACCTGATATGGGATGGATTATTGAGTCATGGTTTAGTTACACGTCCAGATATTGATGTTGGATGGATATTAATTTGTTCATACATCAATCCGATAACAACAACGAGTAAAGGAACTATGTGCACTAGCACAGCTTCACACACAATGTACACACCTGTATGCACTCCTAATGGATCGAAGTTCTCCATGTTGCACACAGTTACGCAGTTGTCCATAGCGTCTCGCACGACTTCGTATTCAATCTCTTTCCAACCCTTCATGGATCGCTCGACTAGAATTTGCGGTACCAAACTCAAACTGGAGGTGGCCAATTCGCGAAGCTCCTCCGCATTATCGGCAAATCCAGATCCAAGCCCACCGAGCGCATAAGCACTTCGAATGATCACAGGGTAACTACGCAATAGTAGTAAATATTTCGAGATCTCATTAGTACCCGAGAGGGAGACAGACTGGACTGCCTTGAATGCTATATGGATTTAAAGATCAACGTTCAACTCAATAGTATACTTTAAGATAGTCACGGTTACATGACCAAATTACAAGTAGTGCCTGAGTGGCCGCAGAAAACTATTCTTCCTACAAAACGAGCCACATACCTGATTCTCTCGGCGACCTTCAAAGCCTCTTCAACCGATTCTACCGCGTCAGACACGGCAACGGGCTGGTTGATCTCAAACAGTGCCTTGGCAAACAGATCTCTATCTTCGGACTTGATAAGCGTCTCTACAGGCGTTCCCAAAACCTCGACACTGTGTCTGGCAAACGCGCCCGCTTTGAACATCTCGACACCTACATTGAGTGCGGTCTGCCCACCGAATTGCAGCATCATGCCGGTGGCTTTCTCTTCCTTCATGACGTGCTCTACCACACTAGGCGTGATAGGCAGGAAGTAGGTGGTATCAGACAAATTGGGATCGGTCTGGATTGTGGCGATGTTGGGATTGATCAAAATGGTACGGATACCCTCCTCTTTCAGTGCTTTAATCGCCTGACTTCCACTGTAGTCGAATTCACCAGCCTGGCCGATCTGCAAACCTCCACTTCCTAACACAACAACGGTCTTTACACCAGTCTTGTGCACATGTCCAGAGTTAGGAGGCAAGGCGGAGCCCGACGCTCGCTTTCGGTAGAGATATGGCTTGGCTCTGTTCATCCACTCGAACATTTGCTGTGATTTGACTGCACGCACGTCTTCCACAAACTCTTTGAACAAGAAAACAGAATCGTTAGGCCCGCCCATACTTTCAGGGTGGAACTGAACCGATGCGAATGGCTTAGAGTCATGGAAAATGCCTTCGTTTGTGCCATCGTTGATGTTAACGTAGTGGGGATGCCAATTGGCAGGAAGGTTGGAGTCATCCACAGCATATCCGTGGTTTTGACTTGTGATCATGCAATGGTTGGTCAACGGGTTGATTACCGGCTGGTTATGTGATCGATTGCCATACTTCATTTTGTATGTGTCAGCCTGGAAGATCAAAAAGAAAGGCAGACATGTCAGTTAATGGTGACATCAAATCTCACATTGGCAAATATTCGAGAACTTTCGTTAAGTATCGAAGATGAAACATTAGTTTACATACCCCGATAGCTCTGGCCATTACTTGATTGCCCATGCAGATACCGTAGATAGGGATGGGGTTGTCCTTCAGAATTTCCTGTCGCACACGTTCCACCAGAAGCCCAGCCGACGCAGGGTCGCCCGGACCGTTGGAAAGGAAGATAGCATCGTAATCAATCACATTCTGCAATGGCAATTGTTTTTAAATCGTGTTAGCTCGGTCGGATCACATATTTTGTAACTTCCTTATATCTGCAAATATCCGTGCAGCAGCTAGCGGTTATTCAAGGCACGCAAATCAATGTATTACATAAAAAAAATTCACTTTCGTACATACAAACAGTACTATTTACCTTCGCCCGAGCTGTTAAGAAATCGTAATCCCACGGCACGACGGTCACCTTCGCGCCCTGGAGACACAGCTGACGGATAATGTTATTTTTGATACCACAGTCCACAGCAAGTACAGAGACATCTCCCTCAGGATTGAACACCTTGACATCCTGTCGACTAACTTCCGCGATGTAGTTGGTTAAGGAGGCATTCACAATTGCTGGTACTTCTTCAGTACCATTCTTCACAATTGTGTGCGAATCTTCGGGCGAGAGTTGTATCAGACGACCTGGTAGTGTACCCTGCGTTGAGAACGTATGCGACAATTGTCAGAACTCGTTTCAGATACGATCACTACATGTTACTTGACTATGCAACATTCGATGCCTATAGAAGATAAATCTTGTAAAAAAAATCACATGATAAATAACACCAACTGCAGACTTTCAATACCTGGTCTCGGCAGAGCTTTGTCAGGTATCGGGTGTCTACACCGGTGATTCCTGGAACGTTGTGTTCTTGCATCCAAGCTTCGAGGGACTTGACAGCAGTCCAGTGAGAGAATTTCTCGCTGTAATTACCTGGGGTGGCGAATCAGGGATAATGAGTATACTGGAAAACTTTGAGAACCACATTCAATACGACTTTGGAAGAAAAAAAATCGGCGCTGTACACCAGCAGGTTTGTTATAATGCGTTACTTACTGACAACAACTCCAGCCACATGGATCTTGTCGCTCTCAAAGTGCACGGGAAGTCCGAATTTATCAACAATGCGCATATCGGGCACTCCGTAGTTTCCTATGAGCGGTTGTGTGAAGACAAGTATTTGACCTCGATATGAAGGATCCGTCATTGACTCGGGATAGCCCACCATCGCAGTGGTGAACACGACCTCGCCATTGACATTCGCACCGGATCCGAAGGACTTTCCTACCAATCGAGTACCATCTGTAGAAAGCAAGAAGAAATGTGTTAAATTCTAGTGCGATGAATTCTAGTACGATGATTGCAACGATGCTTATTCACTATGTCCAATAAATTTACAACAAGGTGACCTTACAAAATAAGAAGCGGTTGAGCTTAAAAAATTACCTGCTAACTCGATCGCCGCTGGCGTCCTGACCGGGACAGGTCCCGATGGTCCAGTCACCACCTTAGAACTTGATGCTCTCTGATGAACCTTGGTCGCTGTATATTTATTTTGTGTCTGTGAGGGTTTGAGCCCTTTTGGGGGGCTGATGCAAGATCCATATTTTTGCCCTGTGTTGATGAGAAGGCTTGTGCGGATGTAATTATTTGAAAGATTGTGTGTGCTAAATTGACGATTGGCAGCCTTGGCTACGCATCGTGCAGATGACGAACCGCGTGGCAAAAGAAGACTCATTTTTGGGATGTCAGCTGAAGCAATGCCCTCTTCTGGTTGAGGTACACACCTATAGACTTATAACAATTGGTGTAGTCAAATCCTGAAATAGACCTATTGCAAGTTGAACAATAGGATTTTTGTTATAATGGTATGTTCCCACGACTTCACGAACGTTATATATGCATATATATATTATATATGTATATGAGATGATTCGAAATGTGCAATGGTTAAAACAATAGGCTCTCTCTCTCTAGCTAAAGCGAACACGCCAACGCCAGTACAATTTGATATTAAATTTTTTGTGTTTAATTATTGCTGCAGTAGGAACTAGAGAAACCTGCGCTGGTGGAACAATATTCAAGACAAACCCAAGGAAGCTTCTGACGGTTGGAGGCCCCTTGGAGTCTTAGACTACTCGTTTGTGTGATTTAAAAAAAAATATATAATATCAGCTGAATTGCCAGCATGCCTGGTGGGAGTGGAGGCTGGAGGTTATTTTTGATACAGTGTTATACAAGAGAGAGTTTAAATAAAAAAATGCATGTATGTATTGCTGGGAGGGATGAGACACGTACTTTGTCAGAACCCAAGATTTGTCATCAGTCACATCAGATTAATCCGTGTTTATCAGATCGGGATCGTGCTTGACCAATGAAAAATACTGGTCAACCAATCATATGCTTGATATTTCTGTCATCACTTTTTCCGCTTTCATACGCAAGCCCAAAAATGTGGTAGGCCGCTCAAGGGCGGACTATTTTAAAATTTTATTGCGAGGAGGGGATGCCATGGGTCACGCGCCGTATATCACCTCGCGCTCTACTAAATACATGAGTGCATAGTATTTAAATATTTACGTACATATTTAGTAGGAGGAAAGGAAGAGCTGTTTAGAAGCCTCCCTCGCGTGGGTGTGAAGCACTGTCGACTCACTGCTACTAACCATGTTGCGTCTACTCTGGTAAGTGAATCTTTAGTATATAGTACAGGGCTTCCCCTTCGCCTGCGCATCATTTACGAATATATGAAGGTTAATAGGAATGAGATATATAGAATTTAAAATAGTAAAAAATACTTTGAAACGCTCGACTCCAGCTAAAACTGCAACATACTGGCGCTGATACCGATCCGTAGGTATAGGCTAAATTCTCATCAGAGACTCGTAAATAGACTTGTCAGTAAAGCACCTCTGTTTATGAAGTACGGCGATTTTTTTTTGTTTCATTATCGGTGTATTCCGAATACGCAAGCTGAATATGCCGTACGTATCTCCGCATAACTCGAACTGTGTATACGCGGATATATTTTTATAACTGCAGATTGTGCACCGCAGATACCATACATTGTTAGAAACCATGGCAAGGCAGATTAGTAGGATTTGCACGTGAATGACTATAATGAAGCTCGAGTCTTAAGTAAAGTGCATTGTAAGTGTCAATTAAAGGATTTTTAACGGGAAAAAAGTAGCAGAATTGGTCACTAGAGTGGTACAGGAAGCCGTTGTAAAAGAAAAATAGCTTGGCTTTCCATTTCGACTGAGAATATCTTCAAGGACCGCATGGCATAAAGTTCGTCCACTAGATTACAATCTGATTTCGAACACCAAACTTGGTGCTGACTGCTGTGGCGTTTTCCACTTCGAGGATAAATAATTGAATTATACTGAAAAGACTATGCTAGCTTCACGTGGGTTTCTTGGCACCGCCCAGTCCAAAGAATGAAGACAGACCCTTCTTTGGCGGCGCAGGCATGGCGGCACTGCAATCGTAAACGAGACGAACGAGAATATTATATATTTATTTATCCCTGGCGTGGCCAGATGGATACCAAAAATATCGTTAGAGGTAACGATATGTGCTTGATGTGCAGTGGACAGGTCGAAAGATTCGATCGTCCTATATATGTAGCTTAGAAAGGCCACATTTAAAAAGCATACAATGAACTCTAATACTGTGACTGAAGAAATCTGACATCTAGAAGCCAACATGCATAAATAAATCAGGCATTGGCGAGGAAACATACTTGTTCGCTTTCGATGCACTTCCGTGCATAGCCGTAGATGATGCCATGAGATTATCAATGTATTGCGTGAGCACTTGATTCTCAGACTTTAACTTTGCGTTCTCATCTTTCACGCGGGTCACCCGTTGCGATAACTCTGGAACAGTGATAAACGACAATGTGATATAAGATATAAAAAGAGGTGCACATATTGCTTACACTGACTTCGTATATTTGACGTGGTTGTGATTGTGAGAAAACTTACACAACGAGAATATGCCCTTTTGTACAAATCATATATGTATGTGAAATACCAGCAGTGACAAGGACAACTGATACCAAGTACAGCTGAAGAACCCAGATATCCCTTTTCAGGACGATCTGTGCGCATATTAGAGACGAAAGTACAAAAATAACGCCTTACCATCGAGAGTATTTTGTAGCTCTAAGACTTGATTTATAAGGTTGGCTTTATTTTCATCTTCGACCTGTGTATCGTTCTTATTGTTTCCAGTTGAGTTCACAGTATTGCCAGTATCCTCATCAGGACCAGGTGGAGCCTACGATGATGTTCAAATATATTTTTCATACAAATAAAATGCCTATGTGTAATACATACCAACGAGAGTTCGACTATGACCATGCACGGGTCACGGAATCTCCAGTAACTAGGCGTGTTAATTATACTATGGTTCGTATTGGAAGATTCGAACACGTTGAGTACTTTA